GACGGTGTTTTTGGCGACTTCGTGGGTCGCTTTCTTTTCGGCTTCGTTTTGCGGTAGAGGCGGATTCGAGACAAAAGCGAGGGAAAACGAAAGCAAAACGAAAACGAAAAACACCGTTTAGGTTCAGCCCTGTTCCTCGACCTTCCTCTTCTTCTGCGTCCAGAGCTCGTTGGGCCATGCCTGCTGCGCGCGACTTCTGCTCCTTGGGCTTCTCCGCCGCTGAAGCGAGGGCCTGCTTGGCCGCTGCCTTCGCCTCCTCGACGAAGTCGGCTTGACGCTTCTCCAGCTCCTCGATGTCGTCGGCTGTGACCGCGCTCTCGCAGTCGTCCAGGTCGAAGAGTTCGCCCATGTCCACCTCCAGGTCGTCATCGCCCAGCATAGCAGCGATGGGTAGCATGGGCTTGCTTCCACGTGCACATGCGTCTGCGCCACCCATTTCGGCACACCCCTCACACGCTTCGTGGCCCCATGGGGAACTCCACCGAAGGCCCCAGTGGCGGTGTCCACATGCGTCCGCGCCACCCTTTTCGGCACACCCCTCACACGCTTCGTGGCTCCATAGGGGGCTCCACCGAAGGCCCCAGTGGCGGTGTCCACATGCGTCAGCGCCATTCATGTCGGCATACCCCTCACACGCTTCGTGGCCCCATAGGGGGCTCCACCGAAGGCCCCAGTGGCGGTGTCCACATGCGTCCGCGCCATTCATGTCGGCATACCCCTCACACGCTTCGTGGCCCCATAGGGAGCTCCACCTAAAGGCCCCAGTGGCGGTGTCCACATGCGTCCGCGCCGGGAAATTTTCGGCACACCCTTTACACGTTTCGTGGCCCCACGGGGAGCTTCACCGACGGCCCCAGTGGCGGTGTCCACATGCATCCGCGCCATCCATTTCGGCACACCCTTAAACTTTTCGTGGCCCCATGGGGAGTTCCACCGAAGGCCCCAGTGGCGGTGTCCACGTGCGTTCGCGCCACCCATTTCGGCGCACCCCTCACACGTTTCGTTAGGAGCTTCACCGAAGGCCCCAGTGGCGGTGTCCAGCGTCCGCGCTATCCATGTCGGCACACCCTTTACACGTTTCGTGGCCCCATAGGGAGTTCCACCGAAGGCCCCAGTGGCGGTGTCCACGTGCGTCCGCGTCACCAATGTCGCCGCGCCCCTTGCACGTCTCGCGGCCTCATAGGGAGTTCCACTGAAGGCCCCAGTGGCGGGGTCCACTTGTGTCCGCGCCACGAAATTTTCGGCACACCCTTTAGGCGTTTCGTGGCCCCACTGGGAGCTTCACCGAAGGCCCCTGTGGCGGTGTCCACATGCGTCCGCGACACCGATGTCGGCACAACCCTCACACGTTTCGTGACTCCATAGGGAGCTCCACCGAAGGCCCCAGTGGCGGTGTTCGTATGCGTTTCCCCCACCCAGCACAGCGCTTCTTGGCCCCATAGGGAACTCCACCGAAGGCCCTGGTGGCGATGCCCCAGTACAGCATTTTGTGGCTCCATATGGAGCTCCACTGAATGCTCCTGTGGCTGTGTTTGCATGCGTTTCCCCCCCGCAGGAAGTACAGCGTCTCGTGGCCTCATATTGACTCCACTGGAGGCCCCAGTGGCTGTGTTCGCATGCGTTTCCGCCACCCAGTACAGCGTGTCGTGGCCCCACAGGGAGCTTCACCGCATGCCCCAGTGGCGGTGTTCGCGTGCGTTTCCCCCACACAGTATGTACAACGTGTCGTGGCCCCACAGGGAGCTCCACCGAATGCCCCAGTGGCAGTGTTCGCATGCGTTTCCCCGACCCAGTACAGCGTTTCGTGGCCCCACAGGGAGCTCCACCGAATGCCCCAGTGGCGGTGTTCGCGTGCGTTTCCCTCACACAGTAAGCACTGCGTTTCGTGGCCCCATATTGAGCTCCACCAAAGGCCCAGGTGGCGGTGCTCTCATTCGTTTTCCCCTCCCAGTGCAGCGCTTCGTGGCCCCATAGGGAGGTATGGAGCTCCACTGAACCGTGGCTGTGTTCGCATGCGTTCCCTACCGAGTACAGTGCTCCGTGGCCCCATATTGAGCTCCACCAAAGGGCCCATTGGCGGCCCCGCCCCATTGCGGCGCTCCCCTCACACGATTCGCGGCCCCATCGTGGATTCCGCCTAAGCTCCCAGTTGCAGCGCCCACATTGCAGCCCCGCCCCGTATCGGCACACAATTTGCATGCTTCATGGCCCCATGAGGAGATCCCCCGAAGGCGATACCCGCAATGACGGTACTCACAACTGCATATGGTTGGGTCCTTCGCCAGGATGGTTGGGGACCTTTGGAGCCTTCCGAGTAGGTTGGCCCCCGCTGCCACTTTCTCCTGCTGTTTGCGTTGGGTAAACATTGAGCGAGCTCGGAGCGTCGTGCAGCATGACTCTGATGGGTAAGCGAAACAATCTCAGCGAGAACCAAGTGCAATTCAAAAAGGTGTGACAGAGTGCCGGAATGTGAGAAGAGAGACGAAGGGAAGTGGAAAGGAGGGGCTCACAAGGGAGCTCAGCCAGGACGCCCTGACTGAGTAGGCAGACGCAAGGTGACCCGCACCCACTACCAACTCATCCACCCCATTCCCTTCCCAGGTTAAGGCCCTCACCGAGGGACAGTGCGACACTTGCTCACAGAACCCTTGACGAGAAATTCAATATAAATCTGTTGGCAGCGCTCTACTCACCTCCATTTCCGCCTCCTCTAACAACCCAGTCCAAGGCCCTGACCGAGGGCAGTTCTGCCATGGCTAATGTAAGATGCCCTGAGTGGCTGGCGGATGTGGCCAGCTGTTGGCTTTCTGGCGGCTGCTAGCTGCGGCGTCCAACGGCGCCAGTAAGAGAATCCCCTCCGCCCCTTCACCTCCTCCATCTCCTCCTCCTCATCCTGCTCCTCCTCCTCTTCCTCCTGTCAGTGCCTGCGGTAAGACTGGGCCAATGTATCGATGCCCGTCCAAGTGGCGTAAAAACTCAAAGGGCCGATGTAAAGGTGCCTGGAGAGTACACGATATTCTCATCGATGGAACTGAGAGATACACAATGCATATATGACCTAGTCATGATGAGTCCACCTCTGCACCACCACATTCTACCACCTACACCTCCAACGCCCCGAACTAAAGATGCCAGCAACACCGAAACACGTTTGCAGTCGATGTCGCTTCATGGCTGTTCAGTGTCGCGTGTGCACAGAATATTCAAAGCTTAGCATGGCATCAGAATCCAACGCGCCGCCTCCCCAATAGCAACGAATGACATAACCTGTTTTGAGTCAAAAGCTGGTCTTAAGTCAGTCTCAAGAACATCCCCCCATAACATCCACAGAGGCATTACCGAATCACGCAGTGCAGCCGATGTTGTTCCCTGGCTGCTTCGTCGCGCGTGCACGCGCGAGTTTAAATGCTTCGCATCGCTTCAGCCTCTCCCACCCCACCACTCATCTCATCCTCCACCATACTTCCCCTCTACACCTCGGGCAACACGACCGATAGCAGAAAGGACGGGTCTTCCGTGCACGGAATCAATTGAAAGATGCCGAGTCCATGGTCTGCCCTGGCAGCTAGCCACGTGCCTCAAGGGCCCACCACCACGGTCAGGAATATGGATGCAGAGTGGACCGAGGAGAGGGATTAGACTTAGCCGCTGTTCATCTCGGGGGCCGCTGCGCTCGAAGATACATCGCAACATCAAGGTACTCGGCTCACAAACTGTTGCAGAGGAAGCAACCGAGCGCTCGCACTGATTGCCGTCTAGTCCCTCTCCTCCTCATGCAGTCCTTCCCCTCCCCGCTTCTCGGGAGCCGAGCTTGCTGGCAGAACCAAACGGCCTCCCACACGCGCGAGACAGCTGAGAGATGCGGACTCCATGGCCTGTCCCTGTGGCCACGTGCTGCAAGGGCCCACCACAACCGCGCCAACGGAACACGGCGGGCGGACCCAGGAGCGTGGCTGCACTCGGCCGCTGTTCGTCTCCGGAAGCCGATGCGCTGGAACATACACCACGGCATCAACGTGCCCGGTCCACAACAGGCTGCAAGCGAAGCAACCGAGCGCCCGCAATGAATGTATTTGTTCCTCCTCCTCCTCCTCCTCCTCCTCCACTCCTCTTCACCTCAATACCGTCTTCGTCTCGGGTCCATGGTCTGTCCCGGTGGCCACGCGCCTCCAGGGCCCACCACCACGGCCAGGAGTACGGTGGCGCAGCGGACCGAGGAGCGGGGCTACAGTCAAACGCTCTTCGTCTTGGGCGCCGCTGCGCTCGAACATGCACCACAGCGTCAACGTGCTTGGTCCAACGTGGGTTGCCGAGGAGGCAACCGAGCGCCCGCAATGAATACCCTCTCTTCCTCCTCCTCCTCCTCCTTCTCCACTTCCGTCGCCCTCCCCCATACTTTCTCCTTTCAATGTCTCGGGCATCGAGACTGATGGCAGAAAGAAACGGCCTATCATACACGCATCGTCTCGGGCGCCACTGCGCTGGAACATGCGCCGCAACCCCAAGGTGGTCGGTCCACAACGGGCTTGGGAGGAAGCAACCGAGCGCGCGCAATGAATGCTGTCTACCTCCCCTCCCCCGTGCGCCACTTTTCCACAAATACACACCCATCCCACAAGAGAGGGGAGGAGACGGAGAGGAGGGGGACGATGAACAAGTGAAATGGGCGGGCCAGGAGGGAGGGGGAGGTTGGAGGCCGCTCAAAGCGTGTCGGCGATGATATTCATACTCTGCATGTCTGCGGCTTTTCCGTTGTCTTTGTGATCACTTCATGCAGCACGTTAACCGAATGTGATGCCTTCAGCCTGCAAGATCCTGCCAGAGTCTAGTATTGCACGGATGCGTTGCCATCTCGTTTGTTTATTTCACGGATGCGTTGGGATCTTTTTTGTTTTTTATATCAAAGTGGCCAATTCTTGTATTTGACCTCGTCTGGCATGATTGTCTTGTTGGCAGGGGCGTGAGTATGAGTATTTATTGGCATGGCCGGCGTGTCCAAGGTATTGCTGGCAACATGTACACCTGACGTATTGGAACCGATTGTCACGCCCCCAGCAACACCAGCCCCGCTGGGGAGGGCATCCCGGATCTGTTGATCTGAACATGGGGCTGTATCAACATGATCTGCAACGCATTTGTCGTGTCAATCGTCATGATCGGGGATGCCTCTTCCAAGATTTTTCAAGATGTACTAGTCGGCCGCTGTTCCGTAGAACAGCATTATCGCTGTCAATGTCAGACATGTGTCCGACTGAACTGTTGTGATCGGCATTGCTCGGCATCTCATGTGTGATTTCGTCAGGCGGCTCAGGGTCTAAAGTTTCCGAAACACCTATACGAGCAACAATTGCAAACTGATCGTCCAAACGCGGAGTGACTATAGGGGGTGGGGGCACTGACTGAGTGGTAGCACCACAGTCACGCTAGGTATGATGGCTGGTAAACGAGGACGAGAGGAAGAACGAGGACGAGAAGAACCAGGAAGCGTGGACGGCGGAGGAGGAGGCGGAACGAGGGAGGAGGAGGAGGAGGAAGAGGAGGAAGAGAAGAGGGAGGAGGAGGAGGAGGAGGAATAGGATGAGGAGGAGGAGGAGGAGGAGGAGGAGGAGGAGGAGGAGGAGATGGAGGAGGAGGAGGAGGAGGAGGAGGAGGAGGAGGACGACGACCCCGATAACGGGGATGTCGAGAAACATACATGCGAATGAGGAAGGTCGAGGGGAGGTCGAGGAGGAAGAGATGGGCGAGGATTACGATATATGGGGGGAAGGAGGAGTTTGTGGACGGCGATATGGAGGAGGTGGACGGGAACATAGCGAAGAGGAGCGGAAGGCGAGTGGATGCGGAGCTGCCGAGGGTCGTATTCTGGCGGCGATGCGTGCTACTGCAGTCTAGGCAAATTCGCTGTGCACATGCATTTCGCCTGGCGTCGCGGTCAGAACATACCGTTCGCTGACAATGTGGCCAGTGGTGGAGGGACTCGAGTCTGAGCGCGCGCGACGCGCGCGTGGTTCTAGTAATTCTGCACGCGCGCGTGGCGCGTATTCCCACCAGCCCATTCAAAAACCCTGCCCATGAGAGTTGACGGGGAAATCGACGAAGAGACATATGTAGTGAAACAGCGGGCAACCAGGTTTAACATATAGATCCCTGAGAGCAATGGGGGTTGGCCTTGGAGGGCCTCTTCGGGCCATCTCTGGGACCCGCGAGCAGGAGGAGGAGGAGGAGGAGGAGGAGGAGAAGGAGGAGGACGACGACCACGACGACGAGAAAGATGAGGAAAAGGAGAAGAATGGCGGGGACGAGGAGGGGGAGGAGGAGGAGGAGGAGGACAGAGCCCATCAATATCGCCTCTTGGAGCCCTCTTGGGACTCTTAGGGGGATCTTGTGGTCCTCTTGGGGCTCTTTTGGGTGGTCTTGGGGCCCTCTTGGGGCCCTCTTGGGGGTCCCCTGGGAGCCCTGTATGGCCTCTTGAGGTCATCTTTGGGGCCATCGATCAAAAGGGGAGGGGGATGGGGAAGGGAACTTGCTTCACCCACTCTGGGACCAACAGCATCGCGTCTTGGGACCCTCTTGGGGCGCTCTTGGGCCGGTCTTGGGGGCTCTTGGGGCCGCGGGGGAGGCCTCTTGGGCCCTCTTGGGCCATCTTTGGGCCACCTTGCGGCCTCAAAGGCGCATCGGAAACGAAAAGGCGAGAAATCCCAAGGGGCCTCCGAGAGCACTTGGAACCGTTTTGTGGCCCTCGTCGGGCCTATTAGAGGTATGCTGGAAGCTATCTTGAGCCATCGTCGGCTATCTTGGTCCATTTTGGATGCCATCTTTGAGCATCGGAGGCCCTCTTGTCTTGGAGCCATCTTGAGCCGTCTTGGGCGCTCTGACACTTCGCGGCCCGCCCCGAAAACCCCAGCGAGGTAAACTTCCCGGAAAGGAAACCGTTTTTGGCAGAGAACAGGAAGAACCCGTTAGACCACTTTCGCCCAAAGGGATGGTGGAAACACATATATGTATGTGGGCATGCACGTATGCAGGTATGTATGTAGGTGTGCATGCATGCATGTATGCATGTAGCATGTAAGTGAATGTAGCGTAGTGTAATGTAACGCAACTTAATGTAGTGTAATGTAATGTAATGTAATGTAATGTAATGTAATGTAATGTAATGTAATGTAATGTAATGTAATGTAATGTAATGTAATGTAATGTAATTTCTTGCAATGCAGTGCAATGCAATGAAATGCAATGCAATTCAATGTCATGTAACGTACATGAATTGTAACGTAATGTGTCGTAATGCAATATAGTGTAATGAAATTCCCCAAATAGTGCTTGCACTGAGGGGTTCTTATTTGCCTTAACCATCTGGGGACCAGTGCCGGATTTTTGTCGCCGTACCGCCCGTCACCGCTCGTTGCCGTCTGTCGCCGCCTTGCTTTGCCCGTCGCCGCCACTCGGGGCGAGTGGCGGCTTTTGCGGGCGGTGCCGCCCGTCGCCGCCGTCTCATATATTCTCCTTTCTCAAAAGAAGAATCGACTCTCCCCCCTCTGGAGTTAACGGGGCGCCTTTTCCTATTGCAATTTACGTATGGTTCTGGCCCATCGTCCATTTTAGATGTGAATTTACATCATCCCAGCCAGGCTTGTATCGCCCCCCCGCCATCCGGTGCAAAAATACGATGCGCGCGCACTTCTTCATCTTAAGAAAGCACATCTCAGTAATCCATTGCAAAGAACGACGAAGTCATCACGCGCCCTTTTCATGCCAACATCGTAACAAACACAGTGTGTTCGCAAGCATTTCAGCATACAAACATAAAACACCCAAGTGTTTTTGCAACACCAAATTGCAACATTCCTGTCCGCGCGCCCATGCTACAATCATACAGCAACCATCGGATGCCAATGCTTGTTGCCAAATCCAACGATTTCATGTTACCGCGGGGTGCACCCGCGATATTCCTGTCATGCGCCGAGGGCGTGAATCCTTTTGCAAAACAAATCCACGCGGGCCATATGCGCGCGCCGCCGCGCGCGCATGATCACTCGGACGGATGTGTTGAAGTTTCGCGCGCGCGGATATCCTGTTCAACCTTGTCAGCATCACTGCGATCACCTGCCTTACCGACAAATGGACATCAGCATCGCCAGCGTGTTTGCCATCATTGGCGCCGTTATCGTTCGTGCCGTCGCCCTCTTGAACATCGTCGTCGGTGGTGCCATCTTCGTCATTGGCCCAAACGTTGCCGACGTCATCTTGTCCTCGCGCACGTCCGAGTATCGTCGATATGCTCACCTTCATCATCGACTCACGGTGACGAGCATTGGCAGTGAGGATCTTATCATCGATGTCGTCATCGGTGGCGCCGCCGTCCCCCGCATCGTGAGTTTTGCCAACAACAAGTTGCGGGTGGGAGGGTGGGATGTTCGTGCGAGCAGTGGAGATGAGGATTTCAAGTTCAGCAAAGTGGAATTCACCATGTCGGTTCCCTTTTCTCAAACGAGAACAGGTTCTTCTACCCTCCCCCCTGGGTTTGAAGATCCCCCGGGAACCGATGCAAAACGCATAGGATTCTGGCCCGATGTCCATCCTACCTTTGAAATCATACTACCCCAGCCAAACCGGTATCGCCCCCCCCGCCACCCCTTGCAACAGTTACTATGCGCGCGCGTTCGTTGTCTTGCAACAAATGGGGCGAAGTCCACGCGCGCGCTTCTTCGCGCGCGCATGCCGGAATCCTTCAAGAACTTGGGGTCCCGGAAGGATTTTGAAATCGAGTGTCTCAAACACATACAAAAGCACAAGGTTTCGCAACACGGATTTTCTAACAAACGCTTATGCGCGCGTTCTTGCAACATCTGAAGGAAACCATTGGCTTTCTTTAATATTCCCAGAACGTTTCGCCAAACGGGCTTGGCGCGCGCGTGTCGAAATCGTTCGAACGCCCTTGCGCGCGTGCCGTCGCGAGAATCCTCTGCAACAAATGGGACGAAGTGCGCGCGCGCGTCGTCGCGCGCATGGCATGCCGAAATCCTTTCAAAAACCTTCGGTTTCGGACGGGTTTCAAAATCGACTGCCCCCAAAAACATACAAAACACATGGTTTTGCTATACGGGTTTTAAATGAAATCGTGCGCGCGCGCTGTTGCGTCGTCGTGGTCGTCGTCGTCGTCGCCGTCCTCCCTCCTCCCTCGTCGTCGTCGTCGCCGCCGTCGTCGTCCTCTGTCTTTCCTCGTCGTCGTCGTCCTCCTCTTTGGCGTCGTCGTCGTTTCCGTCGTCGTTGTCGCCGTGGTCGTCCTTCCTCCTCCCTCGTCTTCGTCGTTGTCCGTCGTCGGCGTCTCGTCGTCGTCCCCCCCATTTCGCCGCCGTCGTCGTCGTCGTCGTCGTCGTCGTCGTCGTCGTCGTCGTCGTCGTCGTCGTTGTCGCCGTCCTCCCTCCTCCTTCGTAGTTGTCGCCGTCGTCGTCGTCCCTCCTTCCTTGTCGTCGTCGTCGTCTTCGTTGGCGACGTCGTCGTCGTCGTCGTCGTCGTCGTCTTCGTCGTCGTCTTCATCGTCGTCGTCGTCGGCGTCGTCGTCGTCGGCGTTGGCGTCGGCGTCGGCGTCGTCGTCGTCGTCGGCATTGTCATCGTCGTCGTCGTCGTCGTCGTCGTCGTCGGCGTCGGTGTCGTCGTCGTTGTCGTCGTTGTCGTCGTCGTCGAAGTCGTCGGGGTCGTCGTCGGTGTCGTCGTAGTCGTCGTCGGCGTCGTCGTCATCGTTGTCGCTGTCGTTGTCGGCGTCGGTGTCGCTGCCCAGTGCAATTTGTTACCGACCGTCACGATCTTAGGGGGTCTTGCGACCAAGCTGCGGGTGGGATGGTGGGGTGTTTGCACGAGCAGTGGAGAGGACAGTTCCAAGACAATCAACGTGAATTGCAGTACATAGATTCTCTTTTCTAAAAAGAGAAAAGACTCTCCCCTCCCCCCCCCGGACTTAACGCTTCCCCCTGGGATAGTATAGTTATATATATATATATATATATATATATATATATAGATATTCTGCACACTCGTCCAT